CTCCTCTAGGACTGACCGGTTTGATCGCCTTGCAGTCCAAGGGACTGCAAGGCGATCAAACCGGTCAGTCCTAGAGGAGATCAACCCTCACTGCTCTTTAGAAGGCCAGACACTGAAGATGAAACTCAAATACTTTGGCCACCTAATGAGAAGGAAGGACTCCCTGGAGAAGAGCCTAATGCTGGGAACAATTGACGGCAAAAGAAGAAGGGGACGGCAGAGAATGAGGTGGCTGGATGGAGTCACTGAAGCAGTTGGTGTGAGCTTAAGTGGACTCTGGGGGATGGTGGAGGACAGGAAGACCTGGAGGAATGTTGTCCATGGAGTCACGATGGGTCGGACACGACTTTGCGACTAACAACAACAACATAAAGCTGAAAAGGATGGTTTCAATAGATAAAGATCTCAACAGATACATCAGCCAACAGCCTTCTCTGCCCAAGCATGAATAAATCCAGATCTAACCTTTCAAAAGAGTTAAACCACATGATTTCCTGTGATGTGCATAGGCTTGTTGCTTTCCTTATGGAGATGCTGTTCCTCCTTCTCTCCACAGCGTGGTGATACAGCTCCATGTTGCATTCAGGGACCAAGCATGAAGCTGAGAGACAAAATATTTTCTCTTGCAGTGCTGGAGTCTCATTCCATCAGCTGTATCTCCCTCCATACATCTCTCCATCCCTTCTGACCCTATGACCAGCCGCCATGGGACAGGATGGAGTAGAAGAAAGACTCCAAGCTTCTCTACAGCTCAGTCAAATTCACTGGGGGGATCAAAAGCAAGGTGATAAAAATGGCCAGGACTCTTTGTCAGTGCTACTGGAGAGAGAGAGAGGGAAGGAAAAGTCTTCAAAAGCAATTTCAAATAGGAAGCAGGGAGGTCTACAAAGGATAGGATTGTAAGAGCACAATGCTATTCTCCTTCAGTTGATGCAAATAAACCTTTAGACTTAGAGGCTTCAGGGCATCCCATGTCCTGAATGAAGTGCTGGGACAATGAATTCTGCCATATGCCCTGATTTTAATCATGCCCTGATTTTAATCTGGATGGCTGTTTTTTGGCCACCTCGATATAGTGCTGGGGAAAGGAAGGAGACTGGGGTACAGATACGTAGCAGACAGGAGTCAGGGTGAGTCCTTGGCCCAGACTCGTTCCTTCACTTTTCTCCTCTCCAAGGCACGTCTGCAACCTGGCAGTGCAGGAAGCCAGTGTGGTTCTTCTCCTACCAGCACCACCTAAGGAAGGGCAGGACAGGAGCTTGGCCTTTGGAGACCCAGCTCTGAAATCACAGGATCCGGCACTCTAATGAATCCTACAGCCCTGCTAGAGAACCTCAGGGGGCCACTGGAGTACCCCCTAAAACTGCTGTGGTAAGAAGGCATTTTAGTCTTTATCACTGAAAAGGCAACAAGGACACAAGCTCTCTGGTGGAAAAGAGGTTTGGGGGAAACCTTTACTTCCAACAGAGAAGGATCATTTATACCCAGTGTTTCTCCAAAGAGCTGAGGGTCCTTTCACTCCCCTTATGCCCCAGACAGCCCTGCAAAATAGGTTAGTCTGAAAGATGGTGCCTGGCCCAAGGTCACCTGGTGGACTTTCTGGCTGAGCAGAAATTTGAACCAAGCCCTCTCCCGCCCTAGTTCATTATTCACTACCAGTGGAAGGTTTATTTATCAATGGGTTTCTATACTGCCCAACAAACACAAGTTTGGATTGGAGACTTGAAGGACAAGTGCCCAGTCAGGAAGATACAGGATAACCCAGTACTTATTTTGTGATGCAGGTGGACTTTGAACCCTGTTTCAGCCATTCATGCAAATATGGAACTGGGAACTCATAACCAGCTTCAGCAACCTGCACCACTGGCTCTCTAAAATGAGAGCTTCTAAAACAGAAGACTCAACACTCAACACTGCGATGCATATTTTATATCCTTCATCAAATAAAAGTTTCATTCCTCATGGCATACATTTTTCATCATGACCACCCCAGCTTTGGCTGTGTCTGGAGCAGTGAGCATAGCATAGAAGAGTAGAGTGGAAGGGGCCATGAAGGCCATCAAGTCCAACCTTCTGCTGTTGCAGGACACCAGTTTACAGCATCCCACTCAGATGGCTGTCCAGGTTCTTTTTGAATGTCTCTAGGAGAGCCCACTACCTCTCTAGGCAGCTGGTTCCACTGCCGTATTGCTCTGTCAAGTGAGGAAGATTTCCTGATCTCTAGCTTGAATCTGGGTTGCCGCAGCTTGAATTGATTATTCCGTGTCCTACCCTCCGTTAGTGGCAAGAAGAGATCTTGCCCTTCCTCTTTGTGGCAGCCTATGCTCTGCCACAACCCTGGCTTGCCCCCAGTTGAGGTCATCCTCCGCTAGTTTCACAAGCCAGTGCTTTCAATGGTGCAAGGAGTTTCCCCGGAAGCGTATCCTTCTGGGATTTCAGCATGAAGCCTTTCTTCTGGAAGGAGAGCAACCAAATTATTCCAGCAGCAGCATGGGGCGTTATCCCTGGGAAGTCAGGTTCACCAACTGTTGAAGACATTGGGCTTTCTATGAAATTTAGAGGAAGACTGGGCCAACACAGCAAGCATGTGCACAACACAACAGGAACACCAATGACTCCTAAATACCTGCTCTGGCAGTGCTTGGCAGAAAGCAAAGACCTGCTCTGCTTCTCAGGGTCTTTTGTGCAGAAAAGCCAATACTTATGGAGATGGCAACCTCAGCTACGCACCAAGGGAAACCGATCCATGAGACCAGGTGACTTCTTTGCAATAGCGAAGAGAGAAATATCTCTCTGCATGAGATGTGTGCACCTTGCTCAGTTTAATCTCCTCTTTCTCCTTCGGGGGCATGTACATATATGCAGGTTCGATTAGAACTTGATGATGTCTGACTAAGAGGTAATCACTGAGCATTATTGCTTAGCCTGTATTTTCTTGTCTTGGTCAGGTTGGGTGTAAAAACATCCACTTTCCTCCTTTTCTAGCCAGAATAGGGTCTGTTTGATCCTCTTCTAAAACTGAGTTCTTTGAGACACCTGAAGTGCAGCATAAATACTGAGAAGAGCTTAGGAGGTGGGGCCCTTGGGGTTGCTTTTTTAAATGCATTAATTGATCTGAATTAATTTAAATGTGACCATGAGGGACAGACTACTCTAACTAGTACTTAGCTTTTCAGTTTAATGGAATATGAGTCAGGGGAGTTTAATTAACCAGCTGTCCTTCCCTGCCACCTTAGGAGAAGTATATCAACTGGTCAGAATGGGGAGAACGTGGCACAAAAGCCAGGAGCCACCAAGCCACTGGTAGGAGGTGGGAAGGGGTATGACCACCTGGGGACCTCAGGGAGCTACACTGGGGCCTGAGGAGGAATGGATGTGAGCCCGACGTTCTCCACCCCAGGCACAATCATTTCGCAAGATGCATGATCGATTGGCAGATTTATATACAAACAGAGATCAGAGGGATTTGAAGGCAAAAAGTACAGTCAGTGATCAT